CTCGGTAGAGAACATTGATCATGTGTTGTGCAATGGGGATATGGCGAAAAAAGTTTGGACTTATTTCTTATCCCACTTCAATTTATCTCTCCTTAGTGTAACTACTTGGAAAGGCATGATGGATTTATGGGATAAACATGTGTCCAGATCGTCACAGGTTGGAATGCTTCGCGGCATCACTCCACTTATCACTACATGGAAGTTATGGAACATTAGATGTGAATCCCGTATGGCAGGTCACCTTAGTTCATGGCAGAAAGCTGTTTGGCAAACCAAGTCTATGCTTTCCCAGATTGCGATTATGATAACCAAGGTCAGGAAATTTTCAGAACTTGATGCCTCTTGTTTGCGTTCCTTAAACTGCCCTATAAATGCCGTTAAACAAACCAAGGTTCAACTGATCAGTTGGAAGAAACTAGAGGGAAACCAACTTAAATTAAATATTGATGGTGCATCAAAAGGAAACCCAGGTCTAGCCGGCGGCGGTGGGATTCTACGCAACAGTAAGGGAGTGTGTTGGGCTGGTTTTTCTCATCACTATCGTTCTTGCACTAACATGGTGGCCGAAACACGTGCCCTTCTTGATGGTTTTCGTCTGTGTAGGGAGCTACAATTAAGCAATTTTATGGTTGAAACCGACTCAAAAATCTTGGTTGAATGGCTTAATAAAGGTGTCTGCACCCTTTGGTGGTTATGGGAATTTTGGAAAGAAATTATGGAACTAATTCGCGTGCTTAATGTCCAAGTTCATCATGTGTATCGTAAGGCTAATATGGCAGCTGACTTCCTTGCCAAAAAAGGCAGTGACGACTCCTCTATTGCCATCTCCATTAGCGATGAAATCCCGACTCCTCTTAGAGGTATTTTGTATACGGATAGTTTGGAATTACCTTATCTTAGACGTTGATGTGTACTGAATGGAATTGTCATTTTGGAAAAAAAGTATTGTAAGGGAAGTAGTACTTCCTTATTTACTGCGTTCATTGTTTTCACATGTAACCACGGTTTTTCTCTGTCACAAGTGAGGGTTTTTTAATAAAATTCTCGAGGTACCGCCCTCCTTTAA